ATAAAATGTTTTCTCAAAAAATTCATCCAACAACAGTTGCAACAGCACATTAACTGGGAACTTCCAGAACTTCAGGGCAGCTTCAGAAGACGATGTGGACAAGGGATATCACCGCTGATGTCAGATGGATCTGGGCTCAAAGCAGAGAATACCAGAAAGATGCTTACTTGTGTTTTAATGATCATGCAAAGGCATTCAACTGTGTGGAACAAAAAAACTGTGGATAAGAGTTTAGTCCGGAAGCCCCGTTGAAACCTGTTCACTTTGGGTGATCCTGCTGGTATTTGAAATACCAGTGACACAACTGTCAGCATTACAGCAACACACAAGCTAGCACAGTACGACAAACTGACAGACAAGTGGTGGGACCCAAGACTATGCTGGCTTTATGGTGAGGCACGCATCTTCTGTCACCAGAGTATTCAAGAGATTCAACTCATTTTCAACCCAAATGCATTCTTGAGAAGAATGGGAATTCCACAACACTTCTTTGTGCTCATTCGGAACTCATGCATGGATCGAGAGGGAGTTGTGTGAATATAACAAGGTAATGCTGCCTGGTTTAAAATTAGGAAAGTTGTGCATCAGGGTTGCATCCTCTCACCCTACTTAATTCAGTCTATATCTGAGTAAATCATCAGAAAATCTGGATTATGAGAAGAAGAGTGGGGCACCAGGATTGGAGGAAGGCTTATTAACCGGTGGTATGCAGATGACGCAACCTTGCTTGCTGTAAGGAGAGGAGGAATTGAAGCACGTGCTGATGAAGATCAAGGTTTGTAGCCTTCAGTGTGGATTACAACTCATTGTAAGGAAGACGAAAATCCTCACCAATGGACCCAGAGGTAACATGATAAAGGGAGAAAAGGTTGAAGTTGTCAAGGATTTCGTCTTAAGTGGCTCCACAATCAATGCTCACGGAAGCAGCAAAGAGATCAAAACACGTATTACATTAGGTAAATATGCTGCACAAGACCTTTCTAAAGTATTGAAGAGCAAGGATGTTAGTTTGAGGATTAAGGTGCACCTGACCCAAGCCATGGCATTCTCTATTGCCTCATGTGCATGTGAAAGTTGGGCACTGAATATGTAAGATCATAGAAGAATAGATGCATTTAAATTGTGGTGCTGGAGAAGAATACAAAAAGTATCATATCTGCTAAAAGGACAAACAGATCTGAATTAGAAGGACAGAGTACTCCTTAGAGGCAAGTATGGCAAGACTTCATCTTACCTACTTTGGACATGTTATCATGAGAAACCAGTCCCTGGAGAAGGACATCATGTTTGGTAAAGTGGAGGGGCAGCAAAAAAACCAAACCAAAAAAACGGCAGGTCCTTGATGAGATGGACCGGCACAGTAGCTGCATGAGTGGGCTCAGGCACAGGAACAATTGTGCGGATGGAGCAGGACCGTGCAGTTTTTGTTCTATTGTACATGGGGTTGCTATGGATTGACGCCAACTCGAAGGCACCTAACAAGAGCATAGGGTTTTCAGTGGCTAATTCCTCTGGCTCAGACAGCCCATTCCTGTTTCACTCTGTTCTTATCCGGAAGCCCCGCTGAAACCTGTTCACTTTGGGTGATCCTGCTGGTATTTGAAATACCAGTGACACAACTGTCAGCATTACAGCAACACACAAGCTAGCACAGTACGACAAACTGACAGACAAGTGGCGGGACCCAAGACTATGCTGGCTTTATGGTGAGGCACGCATCTTCTGTCACCAGAGTATTCAAGAGATTCAACTCATTTTCAACCCAAATGCATTGAGCTCCAGGTGCTAGGGTGCAAAAGCAGAGCTGATCATTATGATTAAGGACCTAACACTGCTCCTGCTTCTCATGGAAAGTAAAACCTAGCTAGGGTGTTAAATGTCTATGACACACTTCTGAATGGCAAACAGGTAAGTCTCTAAAGCAGTGCTTCTCAACCTTCCTAATCTCACGACCCTTTAGTACAGTTCCTCATGTTGTGGTGACCCCCAACCATAAAATTATTTTCGTTGTTACACTTCATAACTATAATTTTGCTAATGTTATGAATCAGGCGACCTCTGTGAAAGGGTCGTTCGACCCCCAAAGGGGTGGAGACCCACAGGGTGAGAACCGCTGCTCTAAAGGAAAGGTACCTGGGTTTTCAAGAGCATCTGACAAAGGATGCTGAGCTGTGCTGTGGGATGAGAACAGGCAGAGGGATCTCAGTAAGAGTTCAATGGGTGAGGGAAGAGCCATCCTTAAAAAGGAAACAGCACATGCAAAGTCTTATATGATGACACAGGTTACAGCAGGTTCAAGGGATTGAAAGGCATAGATTACTAGGGAGCAGAGGGGGTGAGTAGACAGAAGCAGGAATAGAACCATAGAAATCCTTGAAAAACCCATTAAGGGCTGATCCTCTATTCAGAGAACTGGGATGTTATGGAGGGAGGGGTTTAAGCAGCGAAGTGACAGGGGAGGGAGGGATCACATGAGGAGCTTAAAAAGGTCAATCTGACAGCAATGTGGGGGATGAAAGAGAGGTGGTCCAGAATGCTGTTGACACGCAGGAGCCTCCTGCAGTAGTTCAGAAATACCAGTAGTATGGGCAAAGAAGTGAGCAGATTCGAGAAAAATTTTAGGAGGTTAGAATGACAAGACTCAAATCCAATGGGTGATTTGGGTATAGTTCAAAGCAGCAATGCCCCAGGTCTGATTCTCTGGCCTTGACAATATGCTTGGGGAAGGGGGAGGGAGGGCAGAGCTCAGAGAAGTTGACTGGCAAGCAGAGGGGCAGGGAACATGGTAAGAGAGTAAAGGTTAAAAGGACCCTGCCCATCCCACCCCCTTCCAGGGTTTTGCACTAGGAAACTGGATGGAACTCACTAAAACAGGAGACGCAGGAGTGATATTAGTTTGGTGGGTTAAGGAGACAGGTTTAGGTTTGAACATGTTGAGTTTGAGGGGCCTTAGTTCTAAATAAGCAGTTTCAAGTAATAATCTGAAACATAAAGGTTATGTAGTTCTGGACTAGAGGTAGGATATTGGGATTCACTGGCAGATAGCTAGTAGCTGAAGCTGGGGGCTTGGCAGAGGTTGCTTGAGGGGGAAAAAACAGAGGAGATGGCCTTGAGTAACAGCAGCAAAATAACTGGGTGAGTCGGCAAAAGAGAGGGATGAGTGAGAACAAACAGGCTCTCCCGGAAGCCACGAGAAGAGCATTTACCACGAAGAAGACAATGGTCAACAATGTCAAACGTTGCTGAGACATCAAGTGCGACAAGGGCTGGCAAGTGAACTTTAGGGGCACATTTCAGTGGGCTGATGGGGCCAGAACCCAGACTGCAGTGAGCTGATGCGTGAGTGGGCGGTGTGCAAACGAGAGACAATATAGACAAGTCCATCAAGAGGTCTGGTTATACAGTGGGAAGAGAAAGAGTGGTCCCTGTGGGGGTTACAGGAGGATTTGTTTTATGATGGGAGAACCCTGAGTATGTCCCAGGAGCGAGGTTCCTAAGGTGAAAAATGAAAGACACGCAATCATGGACTGACGGGGAGCTATAGGAAAAACGACAAGAGGCCAAATTAAATGACCTTTCACAGTCTCTTTTGACTCCTGACTCTCAAGACTTGCCACTACCTTTAATTTAGGTAGGGTATTTGCATATATGCATAAATCAATGAAAACTTATTCAAATATCCCTGTATATAGAAGTCAGTCACGCACATACTTGGCCTCTAATGACGCAGTTAATGTCCCCAGGTTTATGGCTTGTAGCTCAGCCGACCTCCCCGCGATCATGGAGCGCAGAGCCAGCCTTATCCTATCTGCCCCCCCAACCCCAGCTTATGCGGCGATCCTGGAGGCTGAAGGAGGAAGTAAAATTTAAAACCCCGAATGTACAGCACATCCTGCTGCATTGGAAGCGACTTGTCATTTGCACAAACAAAACGTGTCACTCTTATCATCTCCGGCTAAATCCACTGACAGGTCCCAGATGGCTGGGGTTCAGCCGCCCCCCGAGTCTTTTGCACCCGCTCTTTCCTCAGCCCTTTAATTTGTGAGCAGCCAGGAACGGGTTCGTGAGGAGCCACACGGCCGGGCCGGCCGCCGCCGGCGATCCTCCGCGGTCCTCCCGACGGCTCCGCCGAAGGCGCCCGGGCAGGGGTGCCGGGGAGCCCCCCGAGCTCAGACCCCGCAGGCGCGCGCTCTGCGGCTGCCTGGAAGGACCGCAAAGCAGGCCCCGGGGGACAGAGATGCAGCAGCCACGGGGGCGACGGGTTTCCTCTCCACTCGAGCTTCCCCAAGGAGACGGAGTTTCTAGGGAGAGTTAATCCCCGGCGACCGTTCCCCCTTCTCCCTCTCAAGCCCTTCGCTGGCCTCTCGCCCCCTCGAACGCCCCGTTGGCTCAGACTTATTTTCCCCTCCGCTGGAAAGGGGAGCTGCGATCTCGGGGTGCCCGCGAGCCCAGAGCCCCCGCCTCGAGCCGCGCTCGGCTCCCGGCCGGCACTCACCCGGCCCGCCATCTTCGCGGACACGTCTGGCTCCGGGACTGCAGCTCGGCGCTCTGGAGAGCCCGCCCCCGCCGCGCACGCGCGCCCCCGCCGCCGCCCTCGCGCAGGCGCGCAGCCGCCAGAAGCACGCGCGCGCTCCCGGCCGCGTCCTTGGCGCCCCCACCTGGCGAACGCGAGGGCCGCGCGCAGACCGGGGCGGGGCGGGGCGGGGCCAGCAGAGCCCCGGCGCCATTTTGGATGGCCGCCTCCTGGGTCTGCGGCGGCTGCGGTTTCTGAAGGATTCGTGGACCGCCAGTGACCCTCAAGAGCGCCTGTGCTCCAGAATTCCTAGGGAGTTTCTCGGTGCTTTTACTCACTTAACTCCTTTAACTCATTGTCAGCTGTTGCCGCCCTTTCATGACCGCTCAACTTGCTGCTTCCGGAAGCACTGACACGTACTAATATATTCAGAGCATCCTGCAGTGATGACTGGCCCTCTCCCAAAGCAGATGGTTCCGACGTCAAATTCCGGACTTTTATTCGTGGGCAAGTGTCCCTAGCTTTCGGAAAACATGTAAACATTGACCTTTGCATCTCCCTGTGTGGCCAAAGGAGCCCTGGTGGCGCGGTGATTAAGCGCTCGGTTTAGGGGGAGCCTATTTTTATTTATTGTTAAATACGCTATGGTTACCTGTCTTCCCAAAGATAATTTGTAATTTTAATGTGTTCATTCTCCAGTGTTGTTTCCTTGTAGACAATGACCTTGATGTGATCCGTTCCACTGTAGACCAGGGGTGGGGAATTTAGATATTGACCCTACCATTCTTGGGCCAGGTGAAGTGATCAGCTTCACAGTCAGACCGCTCTGTTTGGTTAAACATCTGGTTAACTGACCCCTCATGAGCCCTGGTGTTGCAGTGGTTGCACGGTGTGCTGCTGTGATCCGCAGGGCAGTTCTATAGGACCCTGCCCTATAGGGCCTCCATGTATGAGTCAGCAGCGAGTTTGGGTTTGGGCATGTGTTGGCTGGAACTGCTGCGCTTTGGTGAGGTGTGTGATGTTAGCTACTATCGATTTCTGGGGCCTTCCATGCTCATGGGTGGCACATTCCTCACCCCTGATTTAGACAGTGGACGTGGATGAGTATGGTGCAATTGTTAGGTTTCTGGAGAGGGTTATACCTCGGTTCTTTGCCTCACACGCTGAAAGAATTCACACCGAGGCACGTTGTGTGAGCCAAGTGGCATTTTATGAAGCACAAGTGTCAGGTGTTAGTCTCAAAGGGGTTCACAACTGGACACTAACAACCACTGGAAAAGAGCACCCAAGTGTGCAGAACTTGGGGAGGCCAGAAGCCCAAGAACCCTAGAAGCTAAGAGCATGTGGGCTTCAGGAGGAGGGAGACCCTTGCCTTCCACCTGCCTCCAACCAGGAGCAGGGTAAGAGACTATTTCAAACCTCTGGTAGGGGAGGCGTGGTTGATGGTATTGGTTGACTCCATGGCTGAGCTAGGCCCACCTGTGTGATGCCATGAGCCTGGGCCTAGTTTGGGCAGCCAGGTGTACCTCCCACCCGGCTTGGGGGCTTGAGGATGAGCATGCTCAGTTTGGGGTCTTCCTAGGCATTCAATGGTTGCCTGATGTCTTTCCAACCTCCTTTATGGGGGCCTTTGCAGGCATGGGAGGGACAACCCCCCTGTCCCTAAGCTAGCTACCTAAGAGAACTTTTGTACAAATAAATACCTTACATCCTTTCTAAACAAGGCCCTCCCCCCACCTCCACCCCCCTGATTTTCTTTCTACCATTCTATTACCATGTCCATACTGAAACCTCCAGAGAGCTATGTCAGGCTCTGCCCAGTGGGTTTCTCTGAGGCTTTGATTGCCACTCCTGTCTTCTAGTCCTCTTCATATTTACACAAGACAACAGGGCATTGTAGGGTTTCTCTGTTTTTCTGCTCGTTTAAAAAAAAAAAGCAGGTCCTCCCTGCCCCCCACCCCCAACATGAAGGGGGAAAGGAAGGAAGGAAGAAAATCCATCGTCACAAGCACTGGGCCTGTTTAGTGATTTACAATGGAGAACTCGCAAAGTCAGAGTGGCCAGAAGACAGGCCACTGACAGAAACTTCCACCTTGAACCTGAACACCAGAGTCCTTTGTGGAGTCGGTGGACTCTACATCATGAAGGATCAGAGAAGTGACTGAGAAAGACAGAGAACTTACTGGATTTTGATTTATTAACTTAAAAAAACAACTATTAGAATAGGCTGGGAAGCCAGGAGGCTGGGGATCCTATCCTGGTTCTCGCTCTGCCAGTCCCTTCAACCATGTTCTTTTGCCTCTCCAAACCCCTTTCCTTATTTGTGCAGGGAGAGGTGTAAATAAGTAAGTTTAAGGTTCGTGTAAGTTCCAACCCACCAGCCTAACTCACTAGCTGCTCCCTGAGGGAGCAAGACCAGGCTATCTGCTCCCAGAAAGATTTCGAATCTCGGAAACCCAATGGGGGAAGTTCTGTCCTATTGGGTTACTGTGAGTTCTAATTGACCAGATGATAGTGGAGTTTGAATAGCTGAAATTTTTCGATCCTTTGAACCCGTAACTCAAAGACAGGTGCAAATAATTACAGCATCCTGAAGAAGTCCATTGATCTGGCATTATTTTCAATGCCAGAGAATCGTGCAAATGCATGTACCTATAACACTGCTCTGTATTATTTTTCTAAGTAAGAGAGATTACAACTAGAAATAGCTTCAATCCAGGCAGGAATGTTTATCTTCTTGGAAAAAATATGCCTGTTGGAGAACACCCCCCACCCCCCACTACGTGTGTGAGTCAATCTAGTACCCTGATAGGGGGCCCTCTACATCCTCCCGTGAGTGATGTAAGTGAAACAGACCTGTGCGCACGGCCCTAAAGAGTCTAGCAGAGAAAGAACAAGCAAATGCTACAGAGCCTCCCCCCTTCGCATGGTTAGCACGGACTCCAGGTGGCCCATCCGTCTGTCCGTCCCATCTGTGCTTTCTCAGATATCAGTTCAATTCAAGGTCGTCTTAGAAACTGAGTGAGTGGAGAAGATTGTGCATCACCTTTGAGCATCTGGGCAGTGAAAGCCAAAGGACAACATTTTTGCCACCCACCTTTTCCTGACAGGAGCTCCCTCAGGGCATGGCCCCCTTGCAAGGGTTGTCAGACAGGTTACTCTGCCCTCTCCATCCATCTCAGGCCATCAGACACTCTCTCCCGCCAAGCAATTGCACTCTTGACAATCCTGAGGAAGAAAATGGCTGAGCCAGATTGACTCAAACAGATGCTGCTAGTTAACTAGAGCTTTGGGGGCTGACGGCAACATCTGCTTGCCCCCTTTCATCTTGCTTTCTTTAAGTTAGTCACTATCCATCTCGGCCGTTAAAAATACTACCCCTCCTGCAGCTATCCATTGGCCCATGAAACTCTTTTAATAAGTTTTTCTTTTACTGTGACAGAATAAGTTAGACAGCCAACAGAAGGGTTAAAATTCATCTAAAATCTAAATGACCAAAAGCATTTCCTAAGAGCTGGCAGGCTTTTTTTTTTTTTTTTGGCAGGGGGTGAAGGGGTGTGCAGAGAATGGTGGTATGAGGGTCAGGGGAGGAGAGGCACATACCCGGTACCTGAGAAATGGGAAACAGAGATGATGCAAGAAAGCAGAACCAGGATCAAGAACAAGGAGGCAAGGGCATTACAGGGTCAGCTTTGGCTGAATACAGCCCCTGGGTGGCCCCGGTTCCTATGTCGGCCAGCCAGTGGCACGGAGGTGACGCCAGGCTTTTTCATTGTGACACTTAGCATCACGTGTTGTTTCCAGTAGGCGGAGGCCTGACTGGAGGACAGTGCACAAATATAATTGTGTGCTCAAATTGCACCCTGTTACCCACTGCAGTAAAATGAGGAAGACCTTCGATGAGATGGATTGACACCATCTCAAACATAGGAACCATTGGGACGAGCTTGCAGAACCTGGCAGTGTTTCACTCTGTTGTGCATGGGTCTCTATGAGTCCGAACCAATTTGACAACACCTGACCACACCCACTGCCATCGAGTCCACTCTTACTCTTCATCCTATAGGACAAAGTGGAGCTGCCCACGGGGTTGCCAAGCTGCACATCTTGGAAGCAACTGCCATCTCTTTCTCCCAAGAGGGTCTGGTGGGCTCAAACCACCAGCTTTTGGTTAGCAACTGAGCTCTTTAACCACCTGCCTGACTAGTGTTCCTTGATGCCCCACTACGATGATCGGCTCCTGTACAAACTTAAAGCCTCAGAGCCCCTCCTGAGGTTGTGTTCCTTATTAACTAGGCAGGGGAACGACCTTGGTTCTCTGCTTTGAGGCGCAAGGACAATATTAAACTACATCAAGAAAGCTGACTGACTGTAATAAAGGAAAACTACCTTTGGTCTCAGGAAACTGTAGGTTTAATCAAACGCTGATGGGAACCGAGAAGAACTTTTAGTCTTCAAGGGTGTGGGTTTCAAAGGTCTACCCAAGGAGTTGTATGCAGGTGTTTCAGGGAACCTGTTCGGAAAATCTGCCACTGAGCCGCACATGTCAGAGGGCACACGTGTTTGTCCAGGTCCTGTTCTCTGCCTCAGGGTAAGTCACCACTGTGGAGCAAAGGCAGACTCCCGAATCCCTCTTAGTCCCTGCCTCCTGCATCGCCTCCTCTCATGAATCCTTCCAGTATTCGTAGATGCAATTACAATGACAAAAACCAAAAGCGTTGCTCGGGAAAGCGATGCCCAATGTCGAGTGGTGAGATTGCAGAGACTGACATCTGTGGTGTTGGTGGGCAGGGCTCTTCAATCCCTACCTGCAGATCTGCCAGGCAACAGTGTTAGCTGCTGGGGAGCTTTGTTGCATACACTTCCTGCCGCAACCTCATCACAGCCAGTTCGGATGATGGACTTGCCATCTGCCTGTTTTCTGCCAGAGAAGCTTGTTTCCCCAAAATGATGGATAAGGCTGGAGAGCGGAACAAAATGGAGGAGGAGGCAGAGGGCAAACAAGCTGATGAAATGCCGCATTCCCACTGCAGTCTGGC